GCGTAATGGTGTGTCCGAATGTCGTAATCGTACTTTACTAGATATGATGCGATCTATGATGTCTCTTACTGATTTACCGCTATCGTTTTGGGGATACGCTCTAGAGACGGCCGCATTCACGTTAAATAGGGCACCATCAAAATCCGTTGAGACGACGCCTTATGAACTGTGGTTTGGCAAGAAACCAAAGTTGTCGTTTCTGAAAGTTTGGGGCTGCGATGCTAATGTGAAAAAGTTTCAACCTGATAAGCTTGAACCCAAATCGGAGAAGTGTGTCTTCATAGGATATCCAAAGGAAACTATTGGATACACCATCTATCACAGATCCGAAGGCAAGACTTTTGTTTCTAAATTCGAAAACTTTCTGGAGAAGGAGTTTCTCTCGAAAGAAGTGAGTGGGAGGAAAGTAGAACTTGACGAGGTAACTGTACCTGCTCCCTTATTGGAAAGTAGTGCATCACAGAAAACTGTTTCAGTGACACCTACACCAGTAGGTGAGGAAGCTAATGATGATGATCATGAAACTTCAGAACAAGATACTACTGAACCTCGTAGATCAACCAGAGTGAGATCCACGCCAGAGTGGTACGGTAATCCTATTCTGGAAGTCATGCTACTAGATCATGATGAACCTACGAACTATGAAGAAGCGATGGTGAGCCCAGATTCCGCAAAATGGCTTGAAGCCATGAAATCTGAGATGGGATCCATGTATGAGAACAAAGTATGGACTTTGGTTGACTTGCCCGATGATCGGCAAGCAATTGAGAATAAATGGATCTTCAAGAAGAAGACTGACGCTGACGGTAATATTACTGTCTACAAATCTCGACTTGTCGCAAAAGGTTTTCGGCAAGTTCAAGGGATTGACTACGATGAAACCTTCTCACCCGTAGCGATGCTTAAGTCTGTCCTAATCATGTTAGCAATTGCCGCATTTTATGATTATGAAATTTGGCAGATGGATGTCAAAATTGCATTCCTGAATGGATTTTTGGAAGAATAGTTGTATATGATGCAACCAGAAGGTTTTGTCGATCCAAAGGGAGCTAACAAAGTGTGCAAGCTCCAGCGATCCATTTATGGACTGGTGCAAGCCTCTCGGAGTTGGAATAAACGCTTTGATAGTGTGATCAAAGCATTTGGTTTTATACAGACTTTTGGAGAAGCCTGTATTTACAAGAAAGTGAGTGGGAGCTCTGTAGCATTTCTGATATTATATGTGGATGACATATTACTAATTGGAAATGATATAGAATTTCTGGATAGCATAAAGGGATACTTGAATAAGAGTTTTTCAATGAAAGACCTCGGTGAAGCTGCTTACATATTAGGCATTAAGATCTATAGAGATAGATCAAGACGCTTAATTGGACTTTCACAAAGCACATACCTTGACAAAGTTTTGAAGAAGTTCAAAATGGATCAAGCAAAGAAAGGGTTCTTGCCTGTGTTACAAGGTGTGAAGTTGAGTAAGACTCAATGCCCGACCACTGCAGAAGATAGAGAGAAAATGAAAGATGTTCCCTATGCTTCAGCCATAGGCTCTATCACGTATGCAATGCTGTGTACCAGACCTGATGTGTGCCTTGCTATAAGTCTAGTAGGGAGGTACCAAAGTGATCCAGGAGTGGATCACTGGACAGCGGTCAAGAACATCCTGAAATACCTGAAAAGGACTAAGGATATGTTTCTCATATATGGAGGTGACAAAGAGCTCATCGTAAAAGGTTACGTTGATGCAAGCTTTGACACTGATCTGGACGATTCTAAATCGCAAACCGGATACGTGTTTACATTAAACGGTGGAGCTGTCAGTTGATGCAGTTCTAAACAAAGCGTTGTAGCGGGATCTACATGTGAAGCGGAGTACATAGCTGCTTCAGAAGCAGCAAATGAAGGAGTCTGGATGAAGGAGTTCATATCAGATCTAGGTGTCATACCTAGTGCATTGGGTCCAATGAAAATCTTTTGTGACAATACTGGTGCAATTGCCTTGGCAAAGGAATCCAGATTTCACAAGAGAACCAAGCACATCAAAAGACGCTTCAATTCCATCCGGGATCTAGTCCAGGTGGGAGACATAGAGATTTGCAAGATACATACGGATCTGAATGTTGCAGACCCGTTGACTAAGCCTCTTCCATGAGCAAAACATGATCAGCACCAAGGCTCCATGGGTGTTAGAATCATTACTGTGTAATCTAGATTATTGACTCTAGTGCAAGTGGGAGACTGAAGGAAATATGCCCTAGAGGCAATAATAAAGTTATTATTTATTTCCTTATATCATGATAAATGTTTATTATTCATGCTAGAATTGTATTAACCGGAAACATAATACATGTGTGAATACATAGACAAACAGAGTGTCACTAGTATGCCTCTACTTGACTAGCTCGTTAATCAAAGATGGTTATGTTTCCTAACCATAAACAAAGAGTTGTTATTTGATTAACGGGATCACATCATTAGGTGAATGATCTGATTGACATGACCCATTCCATTAGCTTAGCACCCGATCGTTTAGTATGTTGCTATTGCTTTCTTCATGACTTATACATGTTCCTATGACTATGAGATTATGCAATTCCCGTTTGCCGGAGGAACATTTTGTGTGTTACCAAACGTCACAACGTAAATGGGTGATTATAAAGGTGCTCTACAGGTGTCTCCAAAGGTACATGTTGGGTTGGCATATTTCGAGATTAGGATTTGTCACTCCGATTGTCGAAGAGGTATCTCTGGGCCCTCTCGGTAATACACATCACATAAGCCTTGCAAGCATTGCAACTAATGAGTTAGTTGTGAGATGATGTATTACGGAACGAGTAAAGAGACTTGCCGGTAACGATATTGAACTAGGTATGGGATACCGACGATCGAATCTCGGGCAAGTAACATACCGATGACAAAGGGAACAACGTATGTTGTTATGCGGTCTGACCGATAAAAGATCTTCGTAGAATATGTAGGAGCCAATATGAGCATCCAGGTTCCGCTATTGGTTATTGACCGAAGACGTGTCTCGGTCATGTCTACATTGTTCTCGAACCCGTAGGGTCCGCACGCTTAAGGTTTCGATGACAGTTATATTATGACTTTATGAGTTTTGATGTACCGAAGTTAGTTCGGAGTCCCGGATGTGATCACTGACATGACGAGGAGTCTCGAAATGGTCGAGACATAAAGATTGATATATTGGACGGCTATATTCGGACACCGGAAGTGTTCCGGGGAAGTTTCGGATAAAATCGGAGCACCGGGAGGTTACCGGAACCCCCCGGGGGGTTAATGGGCCTCATGGGCCTAAAGTGGAGAAGAGGAGGGGCGGCTGCCAGGGCAGGCCGCGCGCCCCCTCTCTCCCTAGTCCGAATTGGACAAGGAGGGAGGGGCGGTGCCCCCCCTTTTCCTTCTCTCCTTCCCCCTCTCCTACTTGGACAAGGAAAGGGAGGGGAGTCCTACTCCCGGTAGGAGTAGGACTCCTCCTGCGCGCCTCCTACTAGGGCCGGCCGCACCCCCCCCCCTTGGATCCTTTATATACGGAGGCAAGGGGCACCCCTAGACACACAAGTTGATCCACGTGATCATATTCTTAGCCGTGTGCGGTGCCCCCTTCCACCATAGTCCTCGATAATATTGTAGCGGTGCTTAGGCGAAGCCCTGCGACAGTAGTACATCAAGATCGTCACCACGCCGTCGTGCTGACGGAACTCTTCCCCGACACTTTGCTGGATCGGAGTCCGGGGATCGTCATCGAGCTGAACGTGTGCTAGAACTCGGAGGTGCCGTAGTTTCGGTGCTTGATCGGTCGAGTCGTGAAGACGTACGACTACATCAACCAAGTTAACGCTTTCGTTGTCGATCTACAAGGGTACGTAGATCACACTCTCCCCCTCTCGTTGCTATGCATCACCATGATCTTGCGTGTGCGTAGGAATTTTTTTGAAATTACTACGAAACCCAACACTATTACCTTGCAAATGGCATCTATCCTCCATGTGCCATATTTGTGAATGACAATCTCGTGTCCTTAAGGTAACAAGAGATTCCACTTTGCAATATGTTAAGAGTCGACAAGAAATGATGTTGAGAGAGCTTTTAATGTGCTTCAAAAGTGCTTTGCTATTATTCGTGGCCCTGTCGTGTATCGAAACTATTGAAACTCACACGTCCTATGGCAAATAATGATATGGTGCATCACCTTACAAAACATGATTATTGAGGATGAGAGAGGCTTGCCAATGAACTTGCGGTACATCAACAATGGGGATCCCGTCGAGCAGAACACGACGAAAACATGATACAGAGTTTCCTCGTTGCGCATCGAAATATCAAGAACTAAGAAGTTCATACCCAACTTCGAGATGATCTACTTGTGGGCACTTCATAGCACATGATTGTTGTGCTTCTATCATGCCTTCTATTTACTTCATTTGGATATTTCGTGTGTTTGAATTTGAATAATAATTTTTGTAATGTTTGCGAACTGTGTGAACCTTAATTATTAAGTTTATTAAATTTGTAACTTTCTATTTACTTCACCTTTTTGCCCACTGTTCCGCACGGTACAGGTTTGGCTTCTTGCCCTTTCATCAAAAGACAAATGGGCATTGCAACTTGAAAGTCTATTCTACTCCAGAACTCAAATGAGCTCGGGATGAACAGTAAATCCGAAAAAATTGAAAACATGTTAAGAAAATTCTGAAATTTTTTGGTGGCAAACATTGACAAATTTTCTGAATGCTTGCAAACTACCAATACCCAGAATCAACCGACAGATCCTTGTTGAAATCCACCAGATACATAGCATTGCAACTTCTTGCCAGTTTCAAGAATGGCAATGGGGGAGCATCACGGAGTCCTCATGATACAATAGTCCTACTACAACATTACATTTCCAGGTTAAGAGTTTATATACACGTCTTCCTCCAGGCCGGGACCAAACCTCCCCCCCACGAGGCACACGGCGTTCGCCGGAATCAAGAGCACGCGCATCCTCAGTACGCATGGCTGGTGGCCTGCAGGGCGCTTCCGGCGCGGTGGCGCTGGAGGCCGCAGGCACAGTGGACGTTAGTCAGGCTGAGGCAGCCGCTGATGATGAGGGAGTGCCTCTCCGGGCAGGTGTGGAGCGACGGGAAGGAGTCGCACACCGCCTGAACCGCGGGGGGCGTCAGGGCCGTGCACTGGCTGATGTTCAGGTTTGCCAGCCCATCGACGTCCTTCGAGCTGCTGCTGCTGCTCCGCGGGGTGCCCCACCTCCCTCGTTTGCTCTTCACGCAGCTGTTTGCGAGGGAGTACATGGCACGGTCGGTGATGTTCTGGCAGTAGTACAGGCCCAAAGATCGCAGGTACGGGCACCCGCTTGCTAGAGCAATAACACTCTCGTCTGCAGTGAAAGATCGGGTACAATTAGTGCTTGTCTAAGTTCTGAAAGAGTGACACAAAACATCATCATCTTAGCTCCTATTGGTTTTACAGTGGCTTTCGAAAAGCAAATATTAACAGTTGGTTGAAAGCATCTCAAAATCATGTACTCCCTCCGTTCCGAATTACTTGTCTTAGATTTGTCTAGATATGGATGTATCTAGACTCATTTTAGTGCTAGATACATCCGTATCTAGACAAATCCAAGACAAGTAATTCGGAACGGAGGGAGTACATCATAGCAACCCAGGTGCCTCTGGGTGCTATTTTCATATCCAGAAGTACTCCCTCCGTCCGAAAAAGCTTGTCCCTCAAATGGGTGTATCTAGCACCAAGTTAGTGCTAGATATACATCCATTTGAGGCATCCATTTGAGGGACAAGTTTGGGACAAGCTTTTTCAGACGGAGGGAGTACAACCTAGAAGATTACCAATAATAGAAACAAACGTACCAGCAGCTTTGCTTCTCACCAATCAATGAAAAGCAATAGGTTATCCAAAGAACTAGTCAATGGAGAGCAATAGGTTATCGAAAGAACAAATCGTATATGTGGTAATTACCTGTTATAAGAACACAGCCACACAAATCCAGGGCCCTGAGATCAGGGCAACCTGATGCCAAGCTGGTAACCCCCTCATCTGTGACATTGTCACACCAACCTAGGTTTAAAGTTTGCAGGTGCCCACAGTTTTGGGCTATGGCCTGCATCAAGATTTTCAGAGATTATTAAACAGAAGTTCATGAATACATGCTAAGAAAATCCTGGGCTAAGCGAAATACCTGCAAGGATTCATCAGTGGCTGCCTTTCCACATCCACAAAGATTCAAGCTCTTCAGGTTTTTACAGTGGCAACTAAGGTAGATTAAGGCACTGTCACTGAAACTGGAACACCCACTGATGTTCAGTTTTGTAAGCCGAGGACATCCGTTGGCCAGTGCATACAATGAACGGTCACTAAGCCGGAAACTTCGGCTGAGGTCTAACTCACGTAGATCATAACAGTAGTTGGCAACAGCCTCTACTGCACTGTCTTCAAGCTGAGGTTTGATTTGGCGAAGAGTGAGAACCTGAAGCTTTGTGAACTTGTGAGCAAATGATATTGTTAAGTTATTCATGTTCTGCTGGCACCTGCAGATGGTACAGATTTAGGTTCGACCAACAAATTCCAAAAGTACAGACCATCAACACCAATTATAAGACCATTAAAAGAACATGAATATACACTGGTAATGCTTGGTTGTGTACATGTGAGTTTAAAATGAAGAGAGAGAACACCAGAAGAGATGTTATATTTGAAACGATATCACTTAAACCAATAGACAAGGAAGGATGGCCGCAAATAACATAGGAGTGGTATTTCTTCACAGGAAACATCAAAGCGACGCATTAATTAATTAATTAGGAATTAAAATGAGAAAAAAAAGGTCACATTGTTGGTGCCCCTCAGGGAAAATATGACATCCTTCTAAATTTACTGACCGGTTTGTCATGAGCATCATCCAACTGATAGAGCACCAACAAATGTGACCTTTTTCCATACTCTATTAATGAGAAGTTTCAAGAATCAAGGTAGTGGGTGGAAGGTTTCTCAGATTGTGACGCATACGCATGAACCCATGTTAGAAAGTGATAACTTCCATAAACATTAATTTTAGTTGTTGACTCATACTACAACATAATCGGCGTCTTGTTTTCAGAACCGAAAAAAAGGGGTAAGGTGAAGACTTCAGCACCATTTAGGGCGGGTGGAGAACGAGTTGACGCCCATGGGTTTGGTTACTTTTCCTATGAAGGAGCATATGAATGGGTAATAGGAGACCGGATTTAAGAGCATGTCAGAGGACTAGAGAAAACAATCTAGTAAGAGCGACATGGTGTCATATCCGAATTTCTCAGTTCACGAGCTACCCCACCACCGTTTAATAATTAAAGCCAGGTTGAAGTATTCCAACAAATCTACATAATAAGGGCTCCCTTTACCTAAAGTGTGCAAATGCAATGTTGAGCAAAATTCTGTCCTCTTCACACGAACAGAACAAAACACCTGCTGCTCTGAAGAACTAGACTGAGAGATACGAAGTTACTCACCATGAGAGGGAAAGATTAGTGACCCCCCATCCTAACGCGTCGCGCCAGCCAGTGCAAACACCGGATGCCACAACGACAATTCGATCATCTCCAGCAACTGATATGATCCGCATAAGCAGCTCCATTGGAAGGTCCTTCCATCCTGACAACATAGGCATAGCGCCACCAGTTTCAGCCTGCCCCCTTCCACCACCGCTAGACACCATGAGGTTGCTGAAGCACGCATCCAACTGCCTGTCTACTGACCTCGCACTGACCATTTTCAATATTACTGCTTCAAGTATCAATGTACCCCTGCAATTACAATTACAGGCAATCCAATCAATAAAAGCAATCCAAGATAAAATGGCATAATATAGCAAACTATTCGACCTCTGCTTCTTGAAAACTAAGATAGGTGATAACAGCTGCATTCAGAGACGGCATAGCAATCAAGAAAAACGTGCAAGGACACTGCTAACAATACAGATTTATTGAAAATGCATATAACAGCATAAGATTAAACACAGGTAGGCAGGACGGCACCAAGCTGGGTTAAACAGAAATAATTTATACAAAAATTGTTTAAGCACACCAAGTTCTTTATACTTGTCGAACTGAAATAGCCAATTAGGGGTAACGAACAGTCAGATGGGCAAGAATAAATTTGAGAATGTGAGGCTAATTATGTACCTATGAATAATTGGAAAAGAAATAACAGATGAGGACCTGAATGGGGATCAGAACAAAGGTACAGCGCGACCACGGATACTGTGGATCAATGCTGTTTTCGTCGCATGGCAGGGAAATCTACGAGATGGAGAAGCTGGAAAGAATGTATCAAGAATCCACAGATGGAGAAGTGCGTACTTATAGAACTCTACCAACATGGCACCTTTCCGGCTTGGATTGGGCGAGGGACTTGCCAGTCACAATCAGACAGCAAGTCACATCCTTAAAATAAGGCGAGGGAAACATTGCGGAGGCTTCTAGGGATCAAGGTCTCGATTTCCTCTGACTTTTGATCAGCAAAGCAATAAAGCCGTCGAGCTCGCTAATCTAGGCTTACAGTACATCGGAAAAGCCGATTAGTCGGGGTACAATCGAGACGAAGCCCGAAACTTGAGGAATAAATCGGGCAAAGAGGTCTGCTGAAAAATGCAAACAGACCCGGTGGTGCTAGCAAGGGACGAATGATCCTCCGGAGCACTCAATCCCGAGGAAAAAATAATCCGACAATCTGCAAGAAAAGATGAAGGAAAGATTGCGACTCACCTCGAGGACCTCGACCGGCCCGGAGCCGGAGACGGGACGCGGGTAGGGCGGTTGAACAGGGACGCCTGTGGCGACCTTGCACAGGGCCGAGACGGAGGAGGCCTTGAGGTGGCGAGGAGGAAGAAGCCAGGGGAGGGGAGGGGGGCGGACGCTGAGGAAGCTGGCGTGGCGCGCGCGTGCAGGGAAAGGGTGGCTATATCCGGCCGGCCGACTTTAGTAGGCGGCGCCGATGGCTGTGGCTTGCCGACACGCGAGGTGCCCGGCGGATGCGGGAGATTTTTCTTCCCTCCTCGCGCTCGGGGCGCGGGCGGGGGTGCGCGTTGGCCGGAGGGACGGACACGAAAGGGCCGCCTGGGGCGGCACGGAGGGGCCGGCGCTTTTTTTAACGTCGACAAAAAGAGGTTCCTTTCTTCCTTCCTCGGCCCGAGGGGCGCGGAGGGAATCGTTCGCAACGGAATAGGCCACGAGTTTCGTCGCCGTCGTTTTCGCTTCCGTGTTCCGGCGGAGTACTCCTCCGTTCCTCCCTTCCGCGTGTGCGTGCGTGCGTCACGACCTTGATCATCGGTTCCGGTGTCTCCGGCCGAGGAGATATGTATGCGTCCGCGAGTCCAGTAGGCTGCATCGTGTCTTTGCCGTCGGATCGCATCGCATGGCTCCGTGGCCAGCGGCGTGCCCATCCTATATAATTTGACGTGTACATGCCTACAAGGCACAGCGCTGCACCGAGCTTTCAAGTCCCACAACTGGCTTATCTCCGTGCAAGTGCAATGCAGCCGTAACGATCCGATCACGTTTGAATGGACTGCAGGTGGCCATGAGCAGCCTCTCAGCTTGCACACACACATTTTCGCGAGGACCTGCAGTGCTCTTCCATGACTTTTACTTAGAGCCCACTTCCGTGCTTGCTTAATGTTACTACTTAGGTAGTAAAACAATCCGGTGCTAAGCTCGATAGCGGCAACCCAGAATGTGCGTGTGTGCGTTCATAAAGATGAGTATATGCACGTATATATATGAGCGTTTGCGTCTGTACTGTGTTAAAAAAAACTTCAAAAATTTCCCGTCGAGAAAAGGAACTTGGGAATTTTATCTGAACTCGTTGTCTAGTTTTGGCGCTACGTGGAGCAAATATACCGCCTTCTTCCATTATTTCACCATCGCGATGAGCCGATGAGCCGCTGGTCGCTTTTCACTTGCCGGTGTCTGCCGTCATCCGGATGATGACAAGTGATAATTCTGTGTGTGCATCTGTTAGCTGTGGCGTGTGGGCCGTAATACTCCACATCCGCATGCAAAAACAATCACACACTGCCCCGTCCTACCATGTCAGCTCGTGCGTGGCTGTTCGATCCGAACGCATCCATCAGAATTCATTTCGCGCATCGCCTTTGTTACGGTTTTCTAAGCTCTTGTACGTCGACGTGCGGAAGAAGTCTATAGAAATGGAGCACCTTCCCTCGGAAGCTAGCTCGGATACAGCGAGCGAACCGGGTGTAATTCAGATGGTTAGGTTTCATGTGATGAAATCATTTGTTAGAGTTCAAGTCCTAGAATTGATGTTGGTGCTTGTAATTTTTTAGATTTATTTCAGGCTCTTCGATGATGTTTATTCAGTGGGAGGAAATGTTTATGTGGACGCCCGTGATGACTTCGTCAATCTTAAGATGTGATGTTAGCTCGGTATCTCGGATGTGTTCGTAAAGGTATGGTGTGCGTGCATGCATTCCTATGAATGAGTGTATGCGTGTATGTGAACATCAGAAAAAACTTGTATAGAATCTTGGAAATTTATGGCAAATCTGGATTTAGGAACTTGTACAGCATCGCTACTCTTATTAAAAAAAGATGTCACAGGCTTAATCTATTAACTAAAAGGAGAAATTGTTTCATTCAACCAATGAAAAACCAGACAAAGATGACACATCATGCCTATGAGAGAGGGCATCCGGCCGAAACTGTTACCCACACAAACCTGCATACACAGCCTAAGAGAGGAACATTGTCGAAGCTATTGCTCGAGTCGATTCCGACACATCTTGACGTAGGGCTCATCATCTAGTCGTTTTGAAACGATGGCAATATGGGTAATCGGTCAAGAAATATATTTTTAAACCAATTGGAAAAACATGGACCCACAGATTTTATACAGAGATATTACCCTAGGTTCTAATTTTGATTGTATTGATATGAGGTGTAGTACAAACTACAGAGTATACGTATCTAATACGAGATTGTTGTGTAAGATTATAATCATCTATCGATTAGTCTGACCTCGATTTATATAATGTACCGAAGACCTGGCCTAGGATTTATTAGAGTCCTCTTCTTGCGCTTCAAATCTCGTGGAATCTTCCTTGTATACGTCATGGCCATCCGAAGAGGTCCGGTAATTAACCGCCACGGGGTCATCGGCCCGACCCTCCTGGCCGGGAGACGACATGGTGAGTACCCCTAGTCCAGAACAGGTGTCAGCAAACTTCATTGTCATCACTTCTTCGCGAGCAAGCCATTTCCAACTTCATCGGGACGACCAACCAAAAATCCGCACTGCATGCAATGCATGAGAACCCTGTTAGTCTATGTCAAACAATCAACCATAGACATTGTGGACTAGGCAACTCCGACTTATGTGAAGAGTATCATGGGACAAAGAAGCGTGCCTTGCACAAACATATCCTAACCTGCCCCATCGCATGGCATCATTATTGTCGCGTCGCCCGCCGCCGCTACAACTCCAACTTCACGCTCAAGGACACGTCGAACTGTCAATGATGAAGGACATGTCATGCCCCTACTCCTCTTGCCATCACCATAGTGGTCACACGAATCACAACACCACCTTAACCTCTAACATAGTCGGTCAGGCACAAGCCGGCCACGATGTCGTGCACGCGCAACTTTAGGAAAGCACGAACGAGACCATGGTCTTGAAGACAGCACCCTGAAGAGGGAAAACTATGGTGAACCGACACTATCACCCTAAGAGCATGACCCAGGGGTGGGGCGCAATGATCCTCGACGACACCTCCAAGGAGGAAAGCGACGCCCACAGACGTCATCACCCGCCGGTCCTCAAGTGCTAGCAAAGCCTTCGCCCGAAGCCTCTGCACCATCTGATGCCCCCATGTAGCCGTCAACAATCTTTGTCGTGCCAATCCGCTGAGCCATCCACCATCCACGTAGCCACCACGCCATGTCGCACCGAAGCCACTGCATCCCTCGTCTCCAACAACCACCGAAGGGTCAAATCTGGATGAGCCAACTCAGATCGGGTGACCACCCTGCCTGCACCGCACGAGGCAATGCCCATTGCACTAAACCTTGTCGTGGAACCAATCCACCCGGGATCAAGCTCCATACTTGACGTAGGAGCTCGCATATTTTTCTGAGTTTATTTTGATGATATTCTTTCAGATGACGGGGAGACGATTTGTGGCACACAGGGCACGCATGCGTGTAGTCACATGATTATGCCAAGATTTGAAAAGTGGTTTTGTGACAATAGCTTAATTGTTGCATGCATACATGCATCTTTTGGTACAACATTTGGGAGGGAGTCCACCATACCACCTGTCCTTTTCCTTTTGACTTATAAATTTGAATCTATTATATCTTTTAAATCGAAAGACCAATTTATATTTTGTTTGCATATTCGTGTTCCTTGTGACAAGAGCTTTGAAACACACCCACTTTTGAATACATTTTGACGAGTTTTAAAACCTTTAACAAGTTTCAATTAGTAAAACATAATAGAATGGATGAATTTAGCAAGTTCAAAAACCAAACTTACCTAAGCCCTAACCCTAAACCGTAAACCCCTAAAAACAAATGAAATTTGGTGAAGCTTTGTAAAACTTAATATTATGACTATCAAGTTTTTATATTTGAAACTTGATAAATTTTTAAAAAGGTGTCTAAATGTATTCAAAACTAGTCATGTTCGAAAGTACTTGTTGCAACGAACACGGATATGCAAAACGAAACCTGATCTGAACTTTGGGTTCAAAAGATACAATAGATTAAAAATTTGAGATAAAATGAGAAGGCATGGAAGGTGGGTTGGATGATGACAGTGTCCTGGCAAAGGGGCCTCTCATCACATCGACTCCAGGCCTGGTGGGCGGGGCTGAGGAGCCCTTGTCTGTTCGTCCCGGGCCACTTTGGACAGCCCATGGAGTATTACATGAAGTTTCCAAAAGACTTGACGTGCTAAAACAAGAAGATGGGGTTATGGAGGATTCTACCTCCCCATACATAGCCGCTCCATGTACCCTGGGTTCCCCGGTATGCTATATAAACTGGGATCCGGGCTCGTAGATAGAAAACTTATAATTTTTTCATAATTTATAATCTTGATACACCCTGGCGCAATAAAAGAAGAGTAGGACGTAGGATATTATCTCTTCTAAAGAGCCCGAACCTGGATAAAATCACATATCCTCTCTCAAAACTAGGAATTATTAAATCTGAAAATGAGGTCAGTTTTTGAATATCTCCGGTCACAAGTAGAGTGTGGTCAGACTTTTCGCTGACCATAGTAGAAACTTTAGTCAGTGGATAGTCTTCCTCCCAATCCACACAACATAGCACTCTATCCAATTTTCCATAAGTGAGATTAGTCAAATTATTACCCCATGTATATTGTCTCCCATGCACTTCAAGCTCCCTCACCCATGTCTACTATAAGATGGCATTGTAGAGAA